ACCTTTATTACAGGAATACAAAAAAGTTGTTTAAGTAGCACTTTTATCAATCATATTGTTTGCTGCTTAAGGGAAATCTCTGGCTCTTTTTGTAATGCGAATAACAGTTCTCTAATCAAATCCAAAATTTTATACACATTACTGAATTTGCTTAAAAGAAGACATACCTTAAGGAGGGCGGTGGAGGAAATATAAATATCAAGTAATTATTAGGGACTTTGTTCACATATGTACATATTCTTATATTAATCACCAAAACCTGAGCCCTGGTCTTACATCAGGGAGTGTTTAAGTGCATTCTCATCTCATTCTCTATCCAAACTCTTATCATCCACCCCCATTTTACAGGTGGAGGCTTAGAAAGAGAAGATGAAGTGATTTGTCCCATATGCCATGCTAGTATGTGACTTGTTTGAGCCTAGGTCTGCCTGATTCCGTTGCCTGAATTTTCAATAATGCTTTCAGGTTATGGAACACATGGGTGTTAAATGCACTGGAAAATACTCTGTGCCTGTTTGTTTTATGGCATCTCAGCCACTTTAAGAATAGTGGCTTTGCAGATAAACATACAGGATTCTTGAATCTTTCATATAGAAAGATTCAAGTCCCACACATAAAGAGATTCATGCCACTTGTCTCCAAAACCTCTATTTTTGCCTTGTTTTTCTAATAACTATTGCCTTTGCTTTTCAGTTCTAGACAAAGCTGACAGTCAACCTCTGCTGTGAAGATTTCTCTAGGGTGGGAGGGGAATTGGGACATTCCAAGCAGTATGCTTGGGATCCTTCTCTGTGACTCCAGCAATTTTTTCCTGAATTGGCTCCTGAATATGTGTGAATTAATGTACATACCTGAGAAAATTGAGAGTTGCAGTTTTGAGATCAGGAGGATTGGGGCTGATGGACCCAATAATAGACTGTCTAAAGCATGTCCTATTTTACCCTCTTACTTCTCTTTTGTGTCTGGCAGCACTGAACCTGCCCTCCTACTCTACTTTTTTTTTTTTTAAACCAGAGCTACTCTGTGAAGCCCTATAATTAAAATTTAGATTTTTATGTACAGTGTATTTTTTCTACTTTTTTCATGTGTGTATAGAATATAGTGCATATTTTATTTCAGATGTCAGGAAATGCTTTAGGGTGTGGGGTTTTCTTGTGGGTGTGAGGAAGAAAGGACAAAGAGCCTATTGCCTGCCTCGAGAATTGACCAAAAGGGCAGACACACCATGAGTCCTTTAATGCTAAACTGCTCTGATGACTGAGTCAGATGGACCTGAGTTGTGGCCCCACAGCCAACTAACTAATGACAGTTAGAACACAGTTAATCATTAACTAGCTGGTCAAATTGGGCAAGTTATTTTAACCTCCTTAAGCTGGAGTTTATTTAGAAAAATCATAATATTGTTGTGAGGATTAAATAAAACAATAGCTGTACATGCATTGGCTGATTTGTAGTTGGTGCTTAATAAATATTAGCTGCCATTTTGTTGTTGTTATTCTCTCCTGTTAAGTGCTAGTTTAATTGGGTTGAAACCAATTTCATTATGTAGACCATTTTGGAAAGTCAGAATACTGTATCTGCAAATGTATTCAGACGACTTGGGGTCAGTGATTTGAAGAAGGTTTGGAATTCACCATTTCCTAAAGTTAAAAAAAATTGAATTTAATCATTTAAGACAAGAATGTATAAGATGAACTTTGGGGTAAAACCCATTCTGTATCTTTGCATTTTATTTATAATTCTTTTTATTCCTATATTGAATAAAGATTACTATAAAAGCATTCTAGAGGAAGTTTCTATTGATTTGAATGCTTAAAGAAACTTACATTCCTCCATTTGAACTAATCAAATTCATATTACTGAGAATTCAACTTAGATTTTCTAAAATCTTTAATTTAAAATTTGAAATATGTAAACTTAAAAAATTTTAAAATACTTTCACACACCATGTCCACGTGATTCTATGTTATCTGGGCTAGTTTTAATTGGGGAACAGCCTGATTGATTTTTTATGTTTGATTTGATATAGTTATCCATCTTAATTCATGCATCAGAGTTCAGCCTTTTATTTGAAGTAAATAACACTTTCAAGTTGATTTATATAACTCTTCATTTTTGTACATGCATCCATGCCAAGTAAAATTTTCACAAGAAAAGCATACTTTTAAAAAATAAATTTAGAATTTTTGTTGAAAACTTTGTTCATTTCAATAGTTTTCCCTTTTTTTGAATTTGCAAAATTACTCATTTAAAACCATTATTTATTTATTTTACAATGTCATATTTTTAAAATTGAAGTATAGTTGATGTACAATATTATATGTTATAGGTATACAATATAGTGATTCATGAAGTTTTAAAGGTTATACTCCATTTATAGTTATTCTAAAATATTGGCTGTATTCCCCTTGTTGTACAATACATCCTTGTAGCTTATTTTATACGTGATAGTTTGTACCTCTTAGTTCTCCCACCTCCGTCTTGTCCCTCCCCTCCCTTCTTCCCACTGGTAACCACTAATTCCTTCTCTACATCTATGAGTCTGTTTCTTTTCTGTTATATTCAGTAGGTTGTTGTATTTTTTTAGATTCCACATGTAAGTGCTATCTTACAGTATTCTTCTTCCTCTGTCTGACTTATTTCACTTAGCATAATGCCCTTCAAGTCCATCCATGCTGTACACCAGAAACTAATACAACATTTTAAATCAGCTGTACTTTAATTAAAAAGTAAACAACCAACCAAACCATTTAAAATATGGGCAGAAGAACTGAACAGACATTTTTCAAAAAGAGAAAATGCAGATGGCCAAACAGGAACAAGAAAAGTTGCCCAACATGACCAATATCAGGGAAATGCAAATCAGAATCACAGTGAGACACCATCTCACACCTGTCAGCATGGCTATCATCAAAAAGAACACAAATAACAAATGTCGACAAGAATGTGGAGAAAAGGGAACCCTTGTACATTGTCAAAAACCTAAAAATAGAACCACCATATGGCTAAGCAATTCCACTCCTGGGCATATACCCGAGAAAAACAAAAACATTAATTCAAAAAGATACATACACCCCAGTATTAACAGCAATAGTATTGATGATTGCCAAGATATGGAAGCATCCTTAAGTACACATCAATGGATGAATGTTCGATAAAGAAGATGTAGCGTATATATGCAATGAAATACAACTCACCCATAAAAAAGAAGGGTATTTTGTCATTTGCAGCCCTTCATTCACTTTTGTTTTCACTTCCAAAATCAGAATTTCATAACTGGCATAAACATTTCCGTTGCATCACAACAAAATACCTGGAAATAAACTTAACCAAGGAGTAGTTTTCCTTTTAATATGCTACAATACATATTTTAAGTTATATTGAGAGTAAAACCCATCTTCATACAACGAAAGTTTAGCGACCTTCAAGGCTATTCGATGCTATAGTTTTAAGACTTCAAGGAATATTTCCAAGAAAGACAGTCACCTTTTCTTGCCTACTCTTGGTATTTACATTCCTTTAAATTGCTAACATAACCTCTCTTGTTTTTTCATATTCATATCATGTCAGTATTTAGCAAAGGCTTTTTGATTTTATGATTGAAACTTGTTGAATTTTAGATGTTTTAATGTCAGATTTAGGTTTCTTAAAAGTGAGACTTTAGATTATAAAAAATCAAATAGGACTGTAGAATTTCTTGTCTAGTTAATATTTTATTCGGTAAAATATTCTTTTACATGGAACTATCAAGTTTGTGTACTTGATATTTTTGAAGTTTTCGCTTCCACATTTAGCTTGGTCTGTCTTAAGTTTCCTTATCTAAGAGTCATTCAAAGTGCTCTGATTTTTCATTTGTTTTAATTTGCTACTATTATTATGTATGATTATATGAAATAATGATTCTAATAATTAACAGTCAAACAAAGGAGAGAATATTTTAGCATTCTTTCAACTAAATCTGTAGGTAAAAGAAATAAACATCTTGATATTAAATTAAATCTTAAATAATCTTAGTCTGTGGATCTTTCGTACAATGGAAAAAATTAAGGTATGGCTTCTTCTCAAGTTTCATGTTGATTTCTTTGTTGTTTCTCATTTTTGTAATGGATTTCTCAAATACCCTGCCACTTTTAGTAATTAGTAATCTCTTGTCAACTCCTTCACAATGTCTGTATCCTATTTTGTGTTATTTGTGTCAAAATTATTTAATAGCATCACATATTGTAGAAAAAAAAAGGTTTTTGCTATGCTAAGCAAGATATTGGCTAATTTTGCAGATATTAGCATGCTTAAATGTAAGCATTTGCATATTCCTTTGCCATTAAAGGAAAATTTCATTCTTAATATTCTTTTACATGAAACTATGGGTAGTCTGATAAATAAGGAAATTTATATTACAATATTTCCCTTGTTAAAATAGTATGTTTTTATTCCAGGTATTAGTCTTAAAATTTTGTATATTCTTTTCTTTCTTCAAAATAGATGATCCATAATTACATGGAACACTTAGAAAGAACAAAACTTCATCAGCTCTCAGGGAGTGATCAACTAGAGTCTGCAGCTCATAGTAGAATTAGGTAAGCTTTTTTTTTTAATTACGCATTTTTGCTTGGAGAAAAAGCGAAATAAATCATCTGTTTGTTTCTGGTTCTCCCTGTTCTTTAATCCTGGAACAATAGTTCGGCTGATTCAAAAGCTCTCTACTGTAGTTGGAATGCTATACGAGAGAATAGCATAGAAACACAGAACAGCCTTCACTATTGAAAAGGTAAATTGTGAGCCATGCCATATAAGCAACATATCGAGGTATTTTTATTGTTTCATAGTACTTAATGGAGATCACACTAGGTTTAAGTTTTTCTGATTTGTGAGGATGCTGAAAAATTTTCTTTTGTCCTGTATAATTGGTTTAAAGTCCTTTTGCTACAGAGAGGCACATTTGAAAGGGTTAGCTAGACTTCTGTTAGCTAGACTGCTGTAGGAGTGTGAATAAATTATGTAGATCTCCAAGCATTGTAGCCAATGAGCTAAGCCAGGACTCTTAGTGGAGAGGAAAATAGTTAATAGGCTGGCTGTCGCTCTGGATTGCTGCATAAATGCTAGGAGCAGCAGCTCTATGGTTATGAGGTGGGGAGAGCGGGATGACGCCATTGCTCCGGAGCTGCTGCAGGATGAAGTGGAAAGCTGCTGCTGATGGCATTGTTTTTGTGGCAGCAGCTGAATGACAGATCCTCACTACAAAGATACCCCTCTGGCCCCCGTGTAGGCCTCCTGGTCCGGGTGTTTCACCATGCCAGCACAGCGCCATGAGTCCTGGATGCATGCTGCTGTTTGTGTTTGGCTTTGTTGGCGGGGCGGTGGTCATTAATTCTGCTATCTTAGTATCTCTCTCTGTTTTGCTGCTTGTGCACTTTTCTATTTCTACCGGAGTGCCAGCTCTGACGCAGAACCTACCAAGGATACTCAGGTACTCCAGTCTCTCCTAGAAGTCCCTGTTTAGTTGGTTTTTCTTGAATTTTTAGCTTCACGGGTCTGCTTTGTAACCGTTTCTGTTGCAGATTGAGACAATGGAAAATGGCCTGAAACTAGGTTTTCTGTTCTTATTTATAGTAATTTATGGGCTGCCACTTAGGGATACGGCTTTGTGTTTGGAAATCACCGACTTAAGAAAAGGATTTTCAGATTGTACTTATACACAAGTACAAGGTCAGTGTGGTTTTAAGCAGCTTTCAAAGAGTAAAGGGAGAGCAGGATTAGAGAATCATATCCAAGTTTATACCACCCCTTCGTTTGGCATCTAAGCGTTTAGGAGCAAATATCTTTTATATTGGAACTTGTAGTTGATTAGACACAGGCCATAGGTGTTTGTTTTGTTCTAATTATCCTTTGACTGCTGGAGGTTTAGCCATCCTTTTTGCAGTTTTTGGTAGCAGCTTATGGAAACTGACAATTTAAATATTTTCCTCCTAAAACAAAATATATTTTAAAGTGAAAGGATTTAAACCTTTTAGGGCAAGGAATGCATTTCCCCCTATTATTTACACATCAAAGTTGTGAAAGCTCTGCAAAGCCTATTCACTATTGTTATGTCAGATGTTGCCCTTTCTTTGTAGACTTGGGTGACAAATACCCATGCCTGCTTGTGGGGGTAGTCATTAATCTTTGTAGCTTTTCTGCTGTTCACTCTCTTGCACGCTCTAAGAACCATCTTATACATTCTAGAGGTTGAAGGTTTTGGTTTCTTTTGTTTTCTAATTCATCAAACTATAACTGTCTTGATTTGTTGAGATTTTTGCTTTGTGCATGGTTTTAAGCGACGGTTCATAGTGTATAGCTTTTATTATTTAAATGTTTGCTTAAAATACTGAACTCCTAATTGTGAATTTAGATAAATTAAGATGAATTAAAGTAGTAAATTCACTCAGTGTGTTCTTTCTTATTTGTAGGTCTGTTCATGTTCAACATTAGTTTAAGATCTAGAAATTAAATTTCATCTATGGTCTAAAACTAGGTACTTGGTTATTTGTTTTCTTTCCTGGTTTTATAAAAATTGGGAGCAATCTTATTACTTCTATATATTTTAGTACATAAAAGATTTGTGTATATATTTGTAGATTTTTAGAAAATTAAAAATAGCTTAACTCAAGAACATATAGACTGTTAAAATAAGACTGATTTTAAAGGGCAGTCTTAGGTTTCAGTTCCATTTGAGAAGCCAGTGCCATGCTGTGCCATGCAGTGTTGTGCAGTGGATAAGAGGTTTGGAGTTGGTGGGCCTGGGTACAAATGCTCTGCCACAAGTCAGCTGTGGGACCTTTGGCAAGTTGCTTAATCTTCGTGCCCGAGTTTCTTCCTCTGAGGTTCTTATCCCATTGGGTCATTTTAAAAATCAAGTGAGGTGATTATTTTGTATTTAATCAGTTGCAAGATATATTGTATATTAAATGAGTAAATAATTTTCATAGTCACTTATATTTACCTCATTTTAGCAAAAACTATTTTAGCTCTAGCTATTTTATTAGTAAAAATAACTTATAATTAAGTTTTAAAAGTTCCTTGATATAAAAGTTGTTGTTGATCTGATTGAAGAAAGATAACAAAGTTTTCAATATTAAGATTAAATTGTCAAGAAGTAGGTAGTTCCAAGTACATAGGTCTTAGAGTCAAACAGATCTAATTTTGAATCCCATCTCTGCTGATTACTAGTGCCCAAAGTCTCTGAGCATCACTTTTCCTAATCTGAAAACAGAGAAAATAAACCCTGTTTCCTTATGAAGATAAAGTGAGATAATGTAAATAAATCATCTCAATGCTTGCCATGTGGTAGGTGTTGAACAAATGTAATCTTTTTTACTGCCCTTTGTAATACACATATATAGTAGATTCTATGAATGACTATTTCTTTTAAATGGGAATACAACCAAAAAGCTGTTTCAAAACATATTTGTGAAATGATTTATGCACATAAGGTAACATTTAAATAACCAACTTAAAAATGGATATATGGAACTAAGACAATCAAAAAAATATATAACAAGGATTTTGACAGCTGGTGATAGCTTTGTTTCTAGACAGTAATAGCATATTGAAACACCTGAGGTTTAAATTTGCCACTTGATATTTTTCTACACGTATTTCATTCTTTGGTTTCTTCTGTGGGTTTTGCTGAAGCATTTACTATATAGAGGATCAAACATATGTACCAACGTAGTACAGGGCTGATGTTCTGTTTTTAGGGTCTCCTTTTGAAAGTAGGATTCTAATTAACTTGCATAATTATATGTCCTCTTCCCTTCCCCCATGTCTTATGTGTATAGTAATATTATTTTTCCAGAGTTGGAACAGTGTAACTGAGAGCACCATTGACCCTCTTGACAGATAGCTATGAGACTCTAATAAAGAAAATTTCCCTCCCTAGAGAGGAGTTTCTGAAGGATAAATAAAAACAGTATAAAGGTTTGAATTCTACTTATATTTTGGATTGTAGATTTACTAGTTAACAGGAGTTGGAAAGAAAAACTTGGATTCATGGCCAACTCCTTCCCTCAGTAGTCTTACACTTACTCAGTATTTGACATGTGTGAAAATGATTGTGTTGTCTTTCATAAAGGAAGATAATTCTCATGACTGGCCTGTATTTTGATTGCTGCTGGCACTGTGATGGATTTGAATAAAGTCTATATTATCTTTTCTTTGCCTTTTGAGTTAGAGAGCTTTTCACTAAATTCTATCTGATTGAATTCCTGGTCACTTTTTGGCTTAAGTCATTAAGATATGTTAAAAAGTAAGTAAGTAAACTCGTAGCTCTTAGACCGTTAGCTCTTCAGTTCCCAAAATATGTTCTTTCCAAATTGGGGGATAAACATTAGGTCAATAACTTCTTATTTTGTCATTTTCAAACATTAACAAAAAATCTAATTTTCAGTCATTGTCACCATCATTTGACGAAAGAAAGGGCATTTTAAAATCAAAGAAGCAGATTAAATGTAGGAAGTGTGAGTTATTCTCAAGAAAGAGCATGTTCTGTGATATGTGGAAACATGTTTGTGTATAATGTGTTCCATATTATCCAATAAGGATATAATAAATAATGCCTCTTTTTGCCATGGACTTATGGAAACTTTGCTGAACCAGCAGTTGGGAATAACGGTATTAACAGAATAGCTGACTACTTTGTTATTTGGTTGTTCTGGCAGCTTGTAGAAATAAACTTAGATTTGGTTTTAAAATCTAGCCTTTTGTTGAGCTGCTTCCCTGCATTTGAATTTTCCTCCCAAATCAAATAGGAAAAGTACCCCAAGTGTGAAGAAGTGATGAGTAATTACTGGTGATAGGGAAAAGTCCTATTCTGTTTCCTTTGTGCATACAACTTTAATAAAACCAACCCCTTTGCTTCACCTAATCTTTAAGAAGGTGTTTGACAGTTGTACTAATCCTTTCTGATAATTATTAAGCAATGAAAGCATGTACCCTTTGTGTTAAGTGAGGGCACATTTCAAAAGTAGCTTAAGTTTCTTGGTATGAAAATGAGCTTACACACCAAAAAAAAAAAAAAGGAGCTTACACAATAAAAGACTTATTTAGCAAAGCTTAATATTTTCCCACTTCTATTTATAACCTCAATGTTTCTCTTCTTACATTTTTACCAGTAGTGCTAAGGTTCCAGGAGGCCCTAAACCTTTGGTGTCTCTCCTTTCTTGCCAGTTTCCATTTGAATTAATGACCCAGGATGACCCGTTAGTAGGCTTGTTTCTACCCTCTAAAAATCCTTTGCATCAACAAAAGATTCTTGTTAAAATTCTATTATTATTAAAATTGAAACTCTTGTTCATTAAAATTTCCCACAAAGTATTGGAAACTACAGTCTTTCATAGAATTTTTTGGCCTCTGTGTTTGGAAAAACTGACAGTTGTTTTCTTATGTATTGTGATAGAAAGGAACTCATATGTTGGTTCTGTAGAAAAATACAGCTTTCCTACTTTAGGGGATAAAACTCTTGAGTTTGTTAACTGAAAAAACCTGTACAACCTAAAAGTTGAGAATTATGTTTTACTGGGGGACATTACTAAGGACCATAGCCCAAGAAGGCAGCCACTCAGATAGCTCTGAGGAACTGTTCCAAAGAGGTAAGGGAGGAACCAGGATGTATAGGAGTTTTTGATGAGTGGGGAAAAACCTATAATGAAACATCAAAAGATTACTGCTAATCACAAAAAACAGACATCTCAAGTTAATGATTTCAGTGCTTTTCTATGTATAGGAAGATGCAAGAATCTGGTTCATTGAAATTATTTCTGTGATATGCATCTTAACTATCTAGGGCCAGTTCCTGAATTCAGTTTCTCCATTCTGAATTCCCCTGAGGGCATACCATCAGGGTAGCTGCAGTGGCTGATGGCTTGATGGCTGGCAACATTTGTTTACTGGAATGGCAGGCAACATTTTTTGGTCCACATGTTCCTTTTACCATTTAATCAGCTCTAACTTAGATGATATTTTGATTTTCCTCTAGGCAGAAAAGACATACTCTGAAGAGGCTTGGGTAAATTCTTACTGGTGTGTGAGGAATTGGGAAGTCTATAAGCAGGGATTGGAGTCAGTTCTAAAGGAGGAGTTTGCAAGTTCCCCTAGGGCTGACCTAAGTTTGAGTGAAAACATAGCAGCTCTTCCTGCTGTGAAACCACACCACAGACTGCTTCTTGGGCAAGGAACTCTTCAGAACTTACAAGTTTCTTAAACTCTTTCTTACTACTTTTCTTAGTTGATTTTTTGGGGCTAATTTAACTTCTGAGACTCTGTGCTTTCTCTCTGATAAGTCTACTTGTTCAGATAGGCAAACAGTATTATTTAAGAATGATGATTCTAAAGCTGTCTAAAGAATGACAGCTCAGGCTTATTAATTACAGTCATGATAAATAAAAGTTAAAGATTAATTAATGCTTAATTTTTTCTCCCCTCCCCAAATAGAAAAGAACGCCCTATATCATTAGGCATTTTCCCGTTACCTGCTGGAGACGGACTGCTTACACCTGATACTCAGAAAGGCGGAGAGACCCCTGGATCAGAGCAATGGAAATTTCAGGAATTAAGTCAACCACGTTCTCATACCAGCCTGAAGGTAAGCTTTGTTCTCTGAAAATCTTTAATTTATGTTTTATAAGCTTTTTTATCCAAATTGAGGTACTAGACAACCAGAACATAATGAAATAGTATGTATACATTTTAGTTTATAAAACTAATGCCTTTTTTTAATTGGAAATGAGCTCATCCCAAAGAGTTTTAGTTTTTATTATTCTTTTTCAACTTATATAGGAAAACAAAGTCAAGCATTGTTATTTCTTGATTAGTATACTAATGATACTAATGACCAAAATTTCTATTTGATTTAGGCTACATTATAATGAATTTTAGATGGGGTGACCAGTGAAAGTAATTCTGTATTTTAAAATTGAAAATCATTGCCACTTGAAATTCCTACTTCCCTCTTGGAACCTTCACAATTTACTAGGACTTCACTTAAAAAAAAAAAAGAACATGGTACCTTCCTCAAAAACCTTCATAAAGCAATATCCGAAAGTACATTGTGTTTAGCTAAAAAGGTCTGGCTCATTATAGATTATTTTCTTAACAAAGAACTTGTCATCAAATAAGTTATAAATATAAACAATAATATATTCTAAGAATGGAAATACACTAATAATTCAAAATATTTGAAGTTATAGTTTGTATCTTATAAGGTGTGGAATATTTATAAAGGAAATATTGATTATAAAAGAAACTTGTTACATTAGAAAGTCTGCTCTGTGGTAAAACAAACAGGCTGCCTACAGTGAATACAACTAAATTACTTACATCCTATCTCCTTTTTCTGCTTTCTTTTTTGCCAAAGTACTTATTATGGTTTAAGTACTTAAAGATAGCTCTTACGATACTTTTAAAATACTAAGTCATTTATTTCTTTATTTTGTCTTTTCCTTTCCATTAAGAACATAAAATCCATGTGGTTTATTTACTGCTGTATACGTAACACTTAGAAAAGTGCCTGGCATATAGTGGTCACTCAGAACATGTTTATTGAATAAATTATTTGTTTTAGATGTTAGACAGACTCTTTTGGGATAATATAAATGTTTCTGAGCTCTGGTAGGTAGAAGCATTTAGAATCATTCCACTGACCTTTGAAATGTGCTCGAAACAGTAAGCAGTCAATAAATATTTTATAGCTTTTCTCCCACTGAAAAGTATTTTTAACTCTAGTCTGACCTCACTTTTTTTCCCTTCTCCTTTCCTTTTGCTCAATTTAATAGAACATAATTATACAGCTGCTCATTGTCACTAGGAGATTCTCTCACTCTTTACTCCCACAGCCACACTGGCTTTTTTAGCCTGCCTGTTCGTATAATAGATCTTCTAAAACACCCATCCCTCAGTCGCCTACTTGCTGTGTCCCTTTCCCAAAACAAAATTAAGTAGGAGGGATACTTCTAATACGTTAAAAATGTATACCATATGGTAACTATATTTTAATCCACCCAAAAAGATACCTTAAAGAGAAGATTGTTACAATTCTCTTGTGATTTAATCCAGTGACATGCTGTGACAGAACTCTATTGATAAACTATAAACTGATTAACAGGTTATTAATATGGATTTAAACATGGAAGGTTTTTTTTTGTTTTCTCCCTACAAATACTAAGACAAATATTCCCCAGAGAGTTTTTTAAAAATAAAATCCAGTCTCTCTCTACTCTGGACATGGAGCTACTAATGAGATAAAGGCTCAAAGATAAAGATTTCTGGGAATGAAATAGTACATTACAGAATGGTAAAAGTCTTTTTTGTAAATTATGTCTTGTAATTAGGAAATATTTTACTATTTACCTAAGCCTTGTTATTAATCAGATATCTTTCTCTAACTTTACAAAAACAAACCTGGGAGTCGGGAGTTTAGAGTTTCCTTGGATTGCATTGTACATACACACTAATCTTGGTTTCCGTGTCTGATGGGAACTAGACTAGATGTCTAATGTAAGGTGTTCTTTAGTTTTCCCTTTTCTGGTAACTTTGAGGATGACCTAGCTATATTTAGAGTATGCTTTGCCTTTGTTATGAAACATTGAAGGTAAGAATTATAATTAATATTAATTTTACTAGCATAACTTTTCTGTGCAATAAGGTTAAGGTGAAAATGTGCTGTGAGAAAAGCACATGATGGGTTATAACCAAGAAACCAGAACTGTAGGACACTTTGGCAGAAGAATGGCAGTAAGGGGAATTTGCCAGTGATTGTAAAGTTGTGTACCCTCTCTGTTGCTTTCTTGCAGATTTCTCACTGTGAGAGAGTTGTAGTCAATAACGTTATTTCTTCTGGTATGCTATACCATTTTATAGAGATGACGAGCATCTGCGGTTTTTGGTATCTGCAGGGGGTCCTAGAGCCAATCCCGTGCAGATACTGAGGGATAAATGGACTGCAAAATCTGCCAGGACTGATGCAACTAGAAAAATATAGGAGTAGTTCTTAAGAATAAGTATTTATACATATTATTCTTTTATTTATTGTATTCTTCTGGGGGGAAATGGACAAACAAACAGATGAAATCAGACTTTCAAGTACTATTATGTACTGTTTTTAAAAAGCAAAGGAAGGGGCTAGAGAGTAATTAGTAGGGAGGGGTGCTTATTTTAGAGTGATGAAGGAAGGCCTCTTGGAGGTGGTGACTTGTACCCTGACATGAAGTATGTACAGGTGCATGGAAAGGTCTAGAGGAATATGTGTTTCAGGGCGATCAAATAGCATTTGTAAAGACCCTGAGGTGGGGACAAACTTTGGCATGTTCGAGAGACATTTTTTTGTTTTTTTTCCCCCCTCTTCATCCAGTTCCTCTGAGGCTTTCAGTCCTTTGTACTGTACCAGTGTGTCTTCAGGGTCCAAAACTTCCATCTTTCTAAATATGATGGAAACTTCTCATTCCCACCTTACCTTGTAGCAGCATGTGACACATTTGAATACTTTCTGCTTCTTGAAATGCTTTCTTCAATTTGCTCCTAGGATCCTACTCTTTGTCTTTTTCTTTTTGTCTCTCTCTGTCTCTCCGACTCACTGGTTTTCTTCGAAGGTTCTTTTCCATTGCTGGTTTTGGATCTCTAAAAGTTAAGAGTTCTTTAGGCCTTAAAGTTGAACCCTCTACTTAATCTTAGTAGCTCAAGTTTCATGTCTGTAAATGCCAACCACCCATCAATGTTCACAAGTTTGAATCTCCAACCTTGACCCCTTTCCCGAACTCCACACCTTTACATCCAATTGCTTTTCTATATAGTTTTCCCACATATGTATTTGTATCCTGCTTAGGTTACCACCTGTAAAAATACTCTCTTTCAAGGCCAATCTAAATACCACAGATTACATGAAGCCTCACCTGGTACCTTGTTAATGGTTCTCAAATTTAGTTTAGAGATCAGTTTAAGGCAGAGAGCAGAGGAGTTTTATATTGCATCATTAATAGAAAATTTTTACTGGGGGCTTCTAGTGAAATTGGTAAAAAAACAACTTATGTTAAATGACATTTTCTGTTGAAAGTATATTATAAAAATGCTCAGGCTGGAAATGAGCAAAAATGTTAAGGTAAGGTTGTTCATCCAGCTGAATTATATTCATGAACAAGCTGTAAATAAAGAAGAAATTGGAGGAAAAAAGGCCAAGAATAACACAACAGTCCTAAAGAACAATAAAAACAAGAACTTGGCCTGCTAGATAATGCATGACTTACTGTAACACTGTAATTATTAAGATGGTGTAGTATTGCATTATCTGCCCTTCCTCTTTCCTTTCTGCACATTTGAGTCCTAAAGCTGCTAGGTAGGGCAGAGCAAGGTGAGCATCCACAGGGTGGTATGGGGCGGGGTAAAGTAGGTATCACAACCTGAGCAAGGCTAGGAATGTATCTATGTGAGGATAGCCTGGTGTAGGAGAGTCAGGGCCTCAGCACTATTAAGGTCATCCTTGCAGAGGGGCATCTGGCTTAGGGGTGTCAGACTGAACAGACTGACGGAGGGCCTCCTTAAGGAAAGGTGCCAGGCATAGGATGTCAGAACCTTAGCAGGTGAGGAAGGCAGCATTGATATGGGGGTGAGGGGAACAATCTGGAATGGAGAGGCAGAAGATGTACAGGGAAAGAAGGGCCTTAGCTGGAGAGGAAGGGGTTATAGTGGCAGAGAGGAGAGATCAGCCCTGGAAGTCAAGCAGCAAAAGAGCTTTAGAATGGAAAGAGTTGTTAGCAGAGTCAGCTGGTATGGAGAAGTCAAGTAGGATGAGGACTGAATTTGTAAATTTGTAGGTGTAGGTTTGAGCAGTTTGAGTTGCAGGACCATTAACAGGAGTGAATGTGAATCATGAAAGGAGGAAACAAAGTGTAGATTACTCAAGAAAGGTGGTTATGGGAAAAAGTGAAAGGATATCTTGAGTTGGCAGGGTGAAGGGGAAAGTACTCTTAGAACGGGAGACACTGAGTTGTTTTAATGCTTAGAGGAAGGGTCTAGTAGAAAAAGAAACTGAAAGCAAGGGAGTGAAGAAAGATAAATGATACATCAGAATTGTAGAGGAAGTGCTGACGGAAAGGGATCACATATCCCACCTGCCATTAAAATCTGCTTTATTGATGAGATACTTCAGTTTTTCGTAGTCTTTTGCTATTATAAGCAACGCTGTGGTTAATAACCTTGTGCATAATTTTGTATGTGTTTATGATTCCTGTAAGTGGGATTGCTGGATTAAAGCATGTATTTAAGATTTTGATAGATTTGCCAAAGTTCTTGCCAAAGGGATGGTAGCTGTACAGTGTTGTATAAGTTCTTCATTGCTTTACAAGTTTAGAGTTCAGATATCTCTTCCTCGTGCCCAAATACGGAAAGAGAGAGAGCAGAGTGCTTTAAATATTATTTAAAATATCCGATACATAAAATTTTCATGCTGTCTTCTAGACCTTGGTTGGTATCACTTTGCAATGATTTCGTAGATTCCGTCTAGTTTCACATATACACATGTATATGTATATATATACACCTATGTGCATATATGCATGTATATGCACCTGCGCAAGTCACGTGTGTGAGTAGTAT